AACAATAGTCAAAGGGCAAAAAGAGAACGGACACGTGGTGGCTAGAAGGTGGCACAGCAACTTGGAATTGAGTTAGCCTCCACGTCACTCCGTCTGATCACAGGGCTGCAGTGCTAAGAATAGATCGGGGGTTATTTTAGTGTCAGATACCATATACTTGGTTGTGGTACTTTTTGGTGCATGAATAGATGACTCTATATTTTTGGAAAGGAGAAAAAATGCCTCTGAGATGGAAGGTTTAAATAACCAGAAAACTCATATTATATTTTTAAACATCTATGCATAAGTCAAGGAGGCCTGGTGGTAGCAGCACTTACAGGGTCAATTCCACCACCTGCTTCTGAAAGACTCGCAGCCTTGGACACCCCATGGATCAGTTTTATTCGGCCCTATAGGGCCACTGTAAGTCAGAATTCATTGGAAGGCAATGGATTTTGTGGACCCCAAAGTCTATCCTTGAGTCCTTTCAAGAAAAAGATACAACACGATGGATTATTCAGATTTCACTTCTTATCAAGAAGCTCAGTACAAAGGCACAAGCACTCACTTTCACAGAGGAAAACTGCTTTCCCAAATTGGCCTAACTTCCACACATTTTCTTTCCCTATGTATTCCACGTAAAACCCACAGGGTATCACCCGTCTCTTCCACTCATTTCAACACGCACACCACAACGTTCTTTGCAGGGCCGCTCTTCCTCCCCTTACTCGGCCAGTGCTCTTCTCGTCCAAAAACAGCGTATTTCATGAGATTGTCTCACTTACCATGCAAAATAGACTAATTGGTAAGCCCATGAAGCCTGCCCATAATCTTTACTGAACAAGATCTCATATGTCCTTATTTGGGAGTTTACCGACTTTTCGATACTCTACGAGGCCAAGGCAGCTTAAGCCTATCAGCAATGAAGAGAGCAATGAAACAGAAAAACATAGCTTAAACCCTGATCTTCTGTTCTTACATGATTGAAATATTGGGGAAAGGTATATAGAGTAAGAAAAAGAATTGGAATTATGAGAGCGTGGCTTGGTTTCTCATGCTGTATTAGCCACTGAGGTAGTTTATTGTGCCAACCTGGCCGATAAACACACGTGGGGTTAATTGAAGGGCAGAGGGATAAATGGCTCGGTAAGCCTCACCTTTCTAGTTCTCAGGTCTCTTGCTTTGTGATGGTCAGACCAGGGTGCAGCTGCCTTAGCCAGTTCCCTGCTTCAGCTGGCAAGGCT